AAATATTTATGAAAATTTGTGAAATTTTGATTTATATGGTTTATATCATAGCATGCATTATATTTTCATAAATAATTAACGCCAAATTATTATTATTATTATTATTAAGTCAAGTTTTTAACCCTTTTTAAATTTGCAAAAATGTGTTTCCAGTTTTTAAATTAGTAATGATGTACTTTTGTTTTGAAAGAATTATTTTTGTTAGTTATCTTTTGAAAAAACATTCACTGGAATAAATAATTTCTCACTCCCACAGCGTTTTTAAACTTTTAATTGCTTTTAAAATTGAACTGAATTTTTAGCTATTCACGTTTAAATTTCCTATTCACGCAATCTGTTACAATTCCCAAAATGCAAAAACAAAAAAGATTTGTACACTTAAACCACTACAAAGTGTAATCAAAATATTTGAGTATGAGATCATAAGCTCTCAATTGTAGTTAAAATAAAAAATTAAAAAAAAAAACATTAAATAAATTAAAAGCAAATTTTTGTAATCGCACACAAACGGTTTCTTGTTTACTTTCGTTAATTGACGTGAAATTTTTTCTCCATTTATTTAATTGCAAGCATAATCTCTTTTATGAGTAAATTTCATTTGTTTACTTACATTTGTATGTTTTAATTGAGTTGCGGCTTGTTTTTGTTGTTGTTGTTGTTGTGGTTTTGACATGAAGTAGCGCATCACTTAAAAATTCGGAAGTTTGTAATGGATTATAACAGATGTACATACATATGTACATAAATAGGTGAGTTGGCGTGAAACTTCGCGTCTAGGGGTTTGGGTGTTTCGTTGTGGATACTGTGTGGGATTTCCAGTAAAATTTTATATCAAACAAGATGAAAATAAATGAGCAACCGTAGTTACAGATGCATTTATGTATATATGGACTTTTAGATATTCATATGTGCATATGTATGTACGTTAATGACTTTACCGATTACATGAACATTAGAAATTTTCTGCACTAATATAAATACTCGTGTGTTTACCGTTTTCTTTGGGCTAATCAAAATAAGGAGTTAGCTATACCTAACATTCATGCTCAGTTAAACAAGTAATTTGCGCAAATTTAACTAATGCTAACGTAATTTATGAGTCATGCAATCTAATATACATACATGCATACATATGTATGTACATAGATTAAGCACACTCTTGATGGTGTATGTTGATACATAAGTTAGTCATTGTCTGAAAATTTAGCGGTAATACATATGTATGTATGTATGTATAAGAGCTGGCTGAAAATTCACAAATATGTGGGTATAAACGCACCCATAACTCATGCATTTCTCACCCGGGGCAAACACCCGCGCTTCAATGCGCACACACTTTCATAGTTCATATATACATATATATTTCTTATTGTGCCTGGCTACAGGCATTGTACTCTTAGTACTGGCATATGCACATAAATTTGACTTGCCAAACTAGTTTTTGCTTGGTAAAAATAAAATAAAATAAAAAATGCATTGGGAAAGATACGCAGCGCGCAGTGATGGTGTTGAAGGCAAACTTCATGAAAAATGAAATGCATTCTTGTTGGCTTCAAGCACTTTTGCTTTAAATGGATTGCATTGAATTTGTGCGATATTTCCAATATTAAGCAAATATTAATTAAAAATTTTAAAGTGTTGTATGAGGTAATTAAACGTAATGTATTTTGTTAATTTTTATTTTCGCACTTAGTTAGGAAAATGTTTACAAAATTTTGTTTATCGGTCTATTGAATTTCTGCTTAATTTCTTTGTAAAACCAAAAAAAAAAGGGTTTCAACTGAGCAACAAAATCTAAACATAAGTCGATACATTTTTTGTGCATGCCGTGCGCTTTGCATCGACATTGCAAATTTATTTTCATTCATAAACTATATTCATAAAAAATAGATGTAGAGATTGAAGTTGTAAGCGAAACGCTCCTCAAAAATGGTTTTCTTAACTTTAAAGATATAACTTCATATAGGTGTGTTCATAAGTACATAGTTTTTATTCTTTGAAGGCAAGTTTCTTGAGGACTCCTAGTAGAAAACCAAATCAGATTACCTGACTAAACTATTCATTTTCCTATTCCTGCAAAATTATAACTTTATCGCTTAAAACTGTATGTGCAGCGACCATTTATATGTCGGCATTTGGTTGAGATTTGGTTTATTCTTAGAAAAAGGCATTTTTTTATTTTCTTTTGTTTGGAAAAGTAGTAATGCAGTTTCTTAGCTGAATAGCGAAATATGGAAAATTGAGTTTTTTTTTTATAAGTGCATATAACTTTTTCACAAGAATCGGTCAAAGTCAAATGGTTTTTATGTTGCTGAAAATAATGCTGAGATTCAGTAAGTCAATCTCATCGCAAATCATCAAATTTGAGAATAGCAATTAGTGACTCTTTTTTTGACTTGAAAAGATTTGGATATTCAATAAGAGAGAGTCACAAAAAGTTTACCAAAAATGTGTGGTGAAAACAAACATGTACATATGTATCTATGCCTTTTGCTAGCGCTGCTGTAACAGCCGCAACAGCCGACAGGGCAAAGTTCTCATAACATCCGAGTTCGGCTGCGGAATTCTTTTTAATTTTTTTCTTTTTAAAATTTTTTTTTATGTTTTAAAAGTATTATTTTTTTTCAATGAAGTTGTATGATATTTAAGTATGAATTTTGGTTTATTTTTTAATGAAATTATTGTTAAAAAATATTGCCTCTCTTCACATTCGCGTTTTTCTTTTCAATAAAATAAGAAGCAACTATCTCTTTCTCCATATTTTTTTGTGTTTCTTTTTGGAACCTGCTCAGAGCCAGCTGAAAAATGGGTGGCGTTTTTTCTAGACTAGAGACCAAAGACACCTTACTGAATACCAAATAATCGCAAAATCGATGTTCACCACGAGAAGTCACTATTAGTGAGTAGGCCTGCGCTCTGAATGCCAGAGTAAGAGTTGACTTTGGTTCTTTTGCTAAATGTGACAATTGTGGACTTCGGTGGGTTTATTGACAAGCACTTTTCTGTGCTCTTTATCTAAAACATCGCAATATGGATATCAAATGAAAGGTATTGCTGAGAACTTTGGGCAGAAAACATTTTCCATTAGGGTTGCCACGCTTCTATGTAATAAAAATTTGTAGTTTGTTAATTTCAATCAGCATTGTTTTTATGTATACGCAGTACATATACGCTCAAAATATGTACCATTCATTCCAGCGTATTTCGGGATAGGGTTGCCACCTAAATTTTGGAGTAAGAAATTTGATATCGAAATCCAATTTTTTTCCAAAATATTTTTTTTTTTAAGCCATCCAAATCTGGAAAGCTTTAAAAGTATATACACTCCGGGAAAAGCTCGGTCAACCTGAAACTAGTAATTTATTTACTTAAAAACTCACGGACCTACACAAGTTTCATTGAGGGTCTACTCAGCTGATAAACCTCAGGTTGGGTTATCTACACTTCAGCGACCCAGTTGTGTTTTTCTATAAACGTTTTAAAATTTCACCACAACTAGAGACGGACGTATCAAAAGTTCATGGACTGCTTCTTGAATAGAGTAACCTATGTGGAAATTGCCTAAATATTTTTAGTGTCAATCTCATTGGTTTGATCGATGATCCGTGCGAAAGAAAGATTTTTGGAAAAGATTCCATTTTTGGCAAATGATAAAACATGCCTTCCTTTACGCATTCCGTATACACTTTTGCAGATAAAGCCTTGAGTATACATGAAAGCTAATGCCGATTGACAATGTAATTTTCTCTTGCTGAATGTTCACCTCATTCCCTTGCCCCCACTGACGGATTCGTTTTTTCAGTTCTTTTTTTAGTTAAAATCTTGTCAGGGAGATAAAATATTAGTACTTAATTGAGCTTACAGTCTCATTTTATGCACTGGTACAGGTAAAACTGCAGCTGAATTCACGATTTTCCTCTTAACATCCGAGGAAACAGCGATATGGATTCACCCTTTCAGAAAGTTTTTTACTTTGTCTTTGTTTATGATGCCAACGTTTAACATTATAGTTCTTAAACTATACAACAAAGAGTCTATGTCCTACACTTGATCTAATTGCTCGAGAGGTTGCACTTATTACGCAGCAAAATTTAAATAAGCCGGCCGATCGTTTGAGAAAACCGCAGGCCAGAGCGACCCTTCACCTAGCCGACCACTGCCGTACATATCAAGCGGAAGTGTTGTTCATTCAGTAGGCAGCCTAATTGAGATATCTAAAGAGAGGAAACCAGTCTTACGTAAATACATATTGTCGTTTAAAGTACACAACCGCGTAACTGACATTTATACCAAATATGAGATTTTCTCACCGGAAGCACCTAGCATCAGGCCTTATCGATTCATACGCAATTATCAATTTGTAGAATTAGCTTGATAAGGATTTGTTTTTAACTGACTTCAAAATAAGGAAGAGGTTATCAATTCGTCGGCTTGTTTTTTTTTATGTATGTTACCGCATAACGTTGAACCTCGTCAACCGATTTCGATAATTCTTTTTCTTTGTCGGAAAGGTGATCCTTCAAAGTTGATCCCACACTAATTTGGTTCAAATCCGATCATTGGATTATGAAAAAATAACGGTACTCATAAATTTTTATATGTGAACAGAAGTCTGTTTTATTGTTTGCTTAAAAATTACTTGTATAAAAGAGAGATCCGCTTTGGATATAAGACAGTTTTTTGCTATCTCCTGCAAAAATTTCGGCAACCTCACGTTCCCTGTTTTGAATTACGCTCATACGCGGTTTTGTACTTTAAACGACTATATGTAGAATTCATTGTAAAAAATGTTATATTGACGATGAAAAATTTAAGCTTTTATTTTGGCTGAAAGTTACCTCCACTTTTTATGTTAAGATATACATACATTAGTAAAATCCTTCTCACGCTATTATGCAATTTATATACACATATTTATGCACACTTATATTTATATGTATGTAGCGATGCAATTCAAGTGGTATACTTACATTTTTAACAGCATATTTGCTTATTTTTCTAAAATTTTGTGCACTGAATATTTGATGATCAACTCCTTTCGCTGTTCAATATTCAATATTCGTATCAATACGGGCCGCAATCAAAAGTGAACACCTGCAGTTGCAAGCAAAATAAAATGTAAAGATTTTATATTTTTTTCATGCAAACAAAAAAACATACACATGTACATATGTATATATTAGAGTTCATGCACACTTAACGGTACTTTGTTTTTTTTTTTATTTATTATTTATTTGTACGTCTATTTGTCCGCTGATTGTATTGTTTAACCGTCAAATATTTTATTTAATAGTTTTGCGACTTTCACTTTTCACTTAAAAAAAAATTATGAATGCAAAAACTGTTTTTTTTTTTTAAGTTAGCAAATATGCAATTTTATTTGTTCGATTTTAGTGCAGCTAGCGCGCTATACAAATGTGTGGATGTATTTTATAAAAATTTGGAGTCGATTTTGATTGCATTAAAATTTCAAAGCGCACACGCCACACAAAATTTGCTGCTGCTGCAAGGCAATCGTGTTTTTTTTTTTTTGACTAAATAGCGTTCAATAACAGTTTATGTTTAGCCTTTTGCACACGCTCACAGTTGGAAAATAAAGCAAAAAATTAAAGTTGTGTAAATTTTGTAAAATAAAATGTTAGAAAAATCGCGCACCAAACCGAAAATTTTAAAGTCCAATGGCAAAAAATTTGAAAAACAAAATCACAACACAATTGCTTTGTGTGTAACTGTTGCTGCTGCTACTGCTGCTACCTTCTCACCGCCAATGGTCTTTGCATTCCAAGGTAACACTCACTCAATAGAGATTAAAGAAAAAAAATTGTGTAAAGCACAAAAAATACAAAACTAACGGCAATATAACTGCGTACAGGTCGCGCTATTGGCAGAACGATGACTGACTAGTGAATTGACAGGCAAGCAGGCACTGACACACTTCACGGTTATGCGCGCACTTAACAATCACTTTTGGTTTCGTTGCCAGCCGAACAAGAAATGGCAAAATGATGAGCGTTCAGAGCGCTGAAGAGTCCACTTTGGAGGCCGCAGCCCCGCAGCCAGCAACAAAGCAGGCTATAAAAATCATAGACTTTTCAAGTGAACAACAAACTGTGGACTTACTATATATATACATATATGTATAGCGGCGGCGAGTAACGACTGGTAAACTGGCTTACTGGCGAACTGCAGATTGAAGACTGATACGTCTTACGCGGACTGTAGGTTAGAGGCTGACTGACTGGCTGCTAGCAAACTGTAGGTGCCAATAACCAGTGCACAGCTGTATAGACGGCAGCGGCAGAGGGCCAACGTAGCAGCAGCACTTAGCAATGTTGGTGAAGCTGTGAAATTCGCAGCAGCCGAAGCAGGTTTGCGCTGCACTATCTCAGCAGCAGCGGCGTTCAGCAGGCATTGGCATAACCATCATAAGCGAGTAGCGAAGAAGGAAGTCGTTGCTCGCCAAGCTTTGATCAGCTGGCGCGCTTTAATGTGCAATAACGAGTGGCGAAACAGCAGCGCCACCACCACCACCACCACCACCGCTTCGTGCTTGACGAGCGAGCAAACGAGCGCATAATTGTCTAATAGCACCATAGGTGGCAGCGAGCGTTGGCGAGCAAGCAATTCAAGGCGCGCCATTACAATTCATTGCTCTAGCTTAAGCTGTACGTAAGGCGAAGCTGTTTACTATTTTCTGCTTCTGTTGCCGGTTAAGCGTATTTTTCGCAGCCGACGGAGCAATGTCATTTGTTTTTCGCTGTTGTTGCTGATTGTCAATTTGATATTGAATTTTTGTGCTTGAGGCAATACAAACACAACACACACACACACGCAACACATATGCACACAAGAATAATGTTGCACATTGATGTGCCGAAATAGTCTACGAAACGACTCACGGTAACTCGAAATAGCAGCACATACGATTTTTGCTCGCTTGAACGCAATTTAAAAGTACAAACGAAAGACTTAAGCAACAAACTCGCAAAATTGCAATGAAGCGCGAATGGCATACGGCCGTCGCTGCAACCAAGCGATTGTTTATACGCAAATAACGCAAGAAGCAAGCTGCAGACTAGCACTTACAAAACACACACACACACGCGCGCGCTTGAAAGGGATTTTAATGGCATGACATGAAAGATGCAAACAAACAACTGCAATGCAAATATTCGCACAAACAGAGCGCATTGCCAATATTTATTAACTTAAATGAAAACAAATACTGTGAGTATACGAAAATGACAAAAGAAAAAAAAAAAAAAGAAAGAAGAATAAGCGCGAATGCAAAGAAAATGTAAACAGGCATGTGCAGACAATGCGAGTCTGCGCGCCGTGCGTTGGATGTTGCGGTGGCTGGCTCAGTGACTACGCGATTACATGGCCACATAGCTGGTCTAAGGCCACGCATTGTTGGCTGACTGCAATTCAGTTCAAAGCGGCAAAGTTTAATTACTATCGTGGCACTTTAACATTGCACAGCAGCTTAGCTGTGCGATGAAGAAAAGAAGTCACTGCGTTTATTTTTAGCTGTCATTGTAGTTGAAGTTTTTTCCCTGAGCACGCTGTGACTAAACAATATTGAGAGGAATATAGTAGCATGAAGAAAATATCCAGCAACAATTTTGATATTGAGGGGAAAAAAGAACTTCAGAACTGATTTTTCTTTGGAAAAGGTGGGAGATATGAATATGGATCAGAATAAAAAATTTGAATGCCTTTTTTGAGGTCAGTTCTATTATAGGGAAGGCATATTCTTGCTACTCATTTATCTATGTAGGTCTATGTGGTTGTTATTATAAGGCTGGGATTTTAATGCCCCAAAAACGAGTACAAAATTACCTTACAAAATTACGAAATGCCCTAAATAAACCGTTAGATTTTATGATTCTTAGCCGACTTCAAAAAATGGCGGAAGGTTATCAATTCATCGGAATAATTTTTTTTTGCGAGCCAGCCTTTTTTAAGTCGGACGGATTTCTTAAAGAAAATTATTTCATGTATCCGATTCGCTTCAAATTTTTTTATGGATTCTATACATGAAATAAGCTAACACGTATTCGAGGAATTTTTTTCTTTCTTGTTTTTTTCTACGAAGATATGATCTGTCAAAGTTCGGATTTTTTCGTGTTTCTGACTAATCATATACTTTTTCAAATCATTATATCTCGGGTTCTGCTTCGTAGAGACTTCATCTTGACGTCGTTTTAAAGCTTAAGAAACGGACTTAGTATATTCTATATATAAAATGGTCAAGATTGTCCTAAAGCTAACTTAGCTATTAAAAGTTGAGCTTTTTGAAGTTGATTTGAATAGTGAAGACCAGTCAATTAGGGATTTAAAATTACACCACCGTAATCCTTGTTCAATTCTCTATTTTTTTAATTTTTTTATGACGAGGTGGTTTATTTTGTGAGAATCAAAAATTTTTTGTAATTTGTATTTGAAAACTTATGATGAGATATATTTGGTAAAGTGCTAAAAATCGGGTTTTTGCAAAAAATAAAATTTTTTTGCGGATTCCGATAGAATACAAATCCAGATATAATATTTTTATGGCAAGATTTTTCTTTAAGGCGACAAACCCCTAGAAATGGGCGTGGCAATTGTAGGACTAGAGTTAGCAAAGCGCAGATTTTATTGCGGGTTCCGGCAGAATATCCGTTTGTTAACAGCATTTGTTCCGAAAACTTTTATTTCAACATAGATCGCTTAAAAGAAAAATACTGATAAAAATAAAATATTTCACGCTAACAGGGTTGAAATTATGAAATTCCTGCCCGTATTTTGTTTGTAAGTCAAATATTAGTGGCATTGTGTTACTATGATAGTCAACTTATGTACAGTAGCAGAAAAAATTATAGTCGCACCAAAGTTGACAAATTTTAAAATTTTATTTTGGTTAGTTTTTTTATAGTTTATTCTTTACCAACATCCGTATAAATACAAGTTTAAAGGCAGTGTCACATGATTGGGAATTTGCCGAAATTGGGTGCAAATCGTATCCCAATTGTATGAATACCCAAATATTTTTCTTTATCCCAATCACGAAAAATAATTTGTTGAAATTTTTCAATACAAGATTGCTGTATTATACCGAGCTTTTGACTACAAAAAAAAATTGTCCCAATGTGTTTATTTTGTACCAAGTTTTTAATTTTGTACCAATAGCCCAATATAAAAATGCACAGATCTGTTCATCTGTACCAGTCGAGTGACACTGCCTTAAAAATTGATGCAATTAAAAAAAAATCAACGAATTTTCGTAAAAATTTCGAGTTTTTAATTAGACTCTGAGTATGCAGTAAGGGCCACGATATTGAATTCTAGTAGAATAAAGTACAAGTTTCAAATGGCGAAAAATGACGGTTGATTTTTTAGAATTTTGAAAAAAGCTCGAAATTTGTACGAAAGTTTGTTGAATTTTTTTTTAATATTACACAAAGTTCGAAACTTGGATTTACACGGGTTTTGTTAAAGAATGAACTATATTTTTATAAACAAAATTGAATGAAAACAAAAATAATACGTTAAAACTTGGTTTGGCTATAATATTTTGACCACTGTATGTTTTTTTTTATATATTTAATTGGACATGCACATTGTACGTAAAGGTATGTACATAACAAAATTAAAAAATAATATTGCCTTTTTTTGCCTTTTTTCAAAGCGCATTTTGCCTTTTTTCAAGTTTAAAATTCAAAGCCAATTTTTTTTTAACGTAATGATACGTATATTTTTTAATGCCCAACTAGTGGAAATCCAGCATTATACATATGTACGAGTATGTAGAACATTTTCTGTGTAAACAAAATTTGTATGCTAACTTAATTTTTTCGTTAAGGTAAAATTTGTTTAGCAATTCCAGATAATCCGTACTTGATTGGGTTCGGTCGTACGAGGCCGGGGTTGATTTTTTCTAACCACGTCCATCCAATTGCGTATTCAAGAGAAAGATTTTGGCGGAAGTTTACGGGCCTTTATGCATTGGCGACGGCGATTACTGCAGATAGGATTAGAGTGCAGTGAATTCAAATACAGCGGCTTCGCTGGCTTAGCCATGCCATTCGAATGGAACCCACTGGTGGTGGCAGGGGAAGAGGGAGGCCCCCACTGTGATGGAAAGACCAAGTGGAGTAGAATTTGGCTTCACTTGGCATTTCCTATTGACGGCAGTTGGCACAGAAGAGAAACGACTGGTGTGCTTTGTTGAACTCGTCCAAAACGCTTAGGTGGATACAGAAGGAAGAATAAAAAGTTCCACCATAAAAAATTTTCTCCTTCGAGTAGCTGGCTCAATAATAGAAGCCAGTGCCGCTTTATGGTTACTATTATTCTCAATAAGCAGATAGTAGGCTTTCGTTCTGTTATAGTCTGGTTAAAGCTCCTTGATAATTATACATATGTATTTGACTACCTGCTTCTAGCCAGTCAAAGAAAATGCAGACTAATTACTATTTCGATTATTCCCGGTAGCTGCTGCTTTTGCCAATTCATCAAAATTGAAAGCTGAAATATTACACATTAGCTCCAAAGTAAAAAAAGTAGATTCCCCAAACTCTATTTTTTATAACTTGTTTTCAAAATAAAACAATTTATATTTTTTACCTTTTATATAAATTGGCAAACATGTTTTCTTTACAATACAATGACAATGAATATGTAGATGAAGAAAATAATGAAGATAAATATCTGGATAAAGGTAAAGGAAAAGATAAAGATAAAAGTGAAAAGATAAACATAAACAGAAAGATAAATAACGATAAAAAGATAGAGATGGAGAAAGTGATAGAGATAAACAAGAAGATAAAACTGAGGAATGACATATATGTATTTATTATTGTAATATATTATGTTATGGTTTGTTGTGTTATGTTATGTTGTTTTATGTTATGATATGATATGTTATGCTAAATGCTAAGTTCAACTCCGCTCCACTCATTTGACCCCAACTAATGTTATTTCACCTCAACTCACCCTAACTGACCTTAACTTATCTAAACTCGCTTCACTTCGATTCTCTACATCTTAACTCAAC